CTTAGCTTTGGGTAAACTGGGAATATCACAGTCCAGAGACTGCACACAGTGAGGGCTTTATAGTCATTTTCTATAAAAATGATCACAGAACAACAAACAATTTTGGGTTGACAGCTTCATTACCCAGATTGTCCCAATTCATCAGCTGGGGCTTTCAAACTGGGCAACAAGCTGCTTTACAAACCTTATTTCTACAACAACATTTTAAAACAGTTTTTCTTTTAAAAAGTGACAAGCTGGTCCTGAAAAAAAGGGCTTTGAGATTCAGCACCAGCTCAGCAGGGTTTTCAGGTTTTACAGGAATGAAGAGCATAGTGGGGCTACTACATTCCCACTTCTTGTCGACTAGTTAGAGGGAGCTGAAGTCTTTACTGGTGATGGATAGAAGATACTAAAGTGTCAGATGTTAGATCGGACATGAGTCAGCTAGCTCTCAGAGGGATCTAGAGGTCGACTGGGAACCCAGATGGTGCCTTAGCCCAGAAAAAGGACCAAGCAAAAGCAATTTGTTTCCTTGTCTCTTACTTTGCCGTGTTTTTCTTCACAATACAAGCCCTGACTATTATTAGTAGAGAACTGCATAATTTTCCTTCACGTTTTTAAATATTGTACAACCACATTGCTCTTCCTATCTGCTCATTCCTATTAAAGTACAAAAAAGGAGATATTTTTCATTGTAACCGGACATTGTACAACAGCGTGATAATGTTGAATTGGGGACTCAAAAAGCCCCTAAGGGTTAGCTATCATCTTTAGATTTCTTTTTTTTCTTATTCTTTTTTCGAAATGAGAACACCTAAAGAAAAAAGGGGTTACAGTATCCTTTCTGAAACACCACGGTTCAAACACTTAACGAGTAGTTTTGTTTTCTATACATGGCTGCAAACATGTGGGTTCCTGGTTCAAGACCCAAATTTCTAATTTTCCATTTCCATTAATGGTTCAATGCTTAGGAAAGACAATCACAGCAGAAAACACAGCGGGCTTGGTAAATATTTTGGTACCAAGAACACAATTACATTAATTGTGCTCTTGTACAAATTTGATATTGTGGTTATCAGAATTTTTAAGGATTGTTTAACGTTGCTTATTGTTCTTATTTGAATGGGACACAAATTTAAAATAATTGCTATTCATTATCTTATAAGGCTTTAGGGCATTCAAGCAGCAACTTCCAAAAAATACAATCTCTGCCTTTTGTCAGTATCAACAATAATAATGAAATCTTTATCTAAAAAGAAGCACACACATATGCAGGTTATGACATTTGACCTATAACGCAATTTAAAAGGGGGTTAAGTTGGGGGATTTGATATCTTTAAATCAATCTTCAACATACAGTCCCAGTGGCAAAAATGTTTATGTACGCTAAAACACCTCGTCACATTTGTCTTTTCAGTGTATCCTATCATGTTAAAACTGGAACACAAACTGTAGAAAAACATGTTTGTGGTGTCAGTCATAAGTTTTTGAGGAAACGTCTCAAGCCAAGATTTGAATTTAATGCTTAATGCCAGCCTGTCCGTCATAGTGAGCTGAAAAATCTGAATGTGGGCCATGTAGAGGGACCTGGATAGAGTTGAGGCAATCACCAAGGCTAACTGCGAAATGCAGAGAAACCTGTCAATCAAGCAAACATGGCTCCACCTATACCCAGTTCAGCATGGAATTTCATTTGTGGTGCTCACAGCATTAAAATAAAAACAATCACATACTTAGCAGCATTTCTTTCCATAAACAGCATCCCCTTTCACTTCACACGGTAGAATACTGAGAACACAGTTTTCATAGGGACTATTGTATTTAGTCAAAATAAGTTTCAATGAAAAGTACTATTTTTCTATGCTGTTAGTATTACAAAATAAATTCCATATAACTCCACAAATGTCACAGATGAAAATCTCAGAAGTTTGGCAAATAAAATATCTGCATTGCAGGGGCAGATCATATTTATAATTTTTGTTTTCTTGTCCAATCGACACTTTGTAACCTCAACATCCTCTTTGCGCTACCTGGTTAGATGCTCTACCACATTTTTTGTGCTGCTACTCACTGTGCAATTAATTGAATCCAATTCAATCCAATCTGATTAGTTTAAACGATCAATTTCAGAATGGCCCCTAAGGCACACTTTTGAAGTGAACCTACCAGCTGAGGCAACAGATAAGTGTGGTTTTAGCATTGATTTCCTGGTTACTTCCAACCAGCTGACATTATTTTAAAGCCATTTAGTGGCCATTAGGGGAACTGCATTTTAAGGCACTTAAGCAGTGGCTTTAATACTCAGCCGTATATCAGCCTCCTCCTAACTTTACATTAAATTGTCATTTGCGTAAGCACATACAGTTTTTTAACGGAGCCGGTTTCTGGCACATCCAATTATAAATTTTGCACTGAAAAGACAAGTGTAACCTGTATGGATCAAGAAAAACTGTAATTATGTTGCAGACTAAGGCCCCGTTTCATGGAGACGGTTCGGGTTGTATCTGCTACTTTTGTCTATCGTATAGACGGTTCGTTCACACGAGGCCGTAACGGAACCGCGGAAACGGACCCCTCCAACGATAACGGGTCCCAAGGTGGGTAGATCTGCGGACGGAACACTCTGGGGGGTCAAACGGCTCTGTGTGTACGCCCTATACGCCATAGCCCCGCCTCTCCTGCTCACCCCCGTCATTGCTGATGTGTTTCGCCAACAACAACAACAACAGTGTTCTGAGTGTTTCGAGCCAGGTCCCGGTATCTCGCAGGACAGTGCACCCAGCAGGAGCCTCCAACAGACACCGTACGGTTCCTCGTCCCTTGGGGAGTTGGGTGTCCTTTTACAGCAGGAGCACACGCTTCGCCTCGGGCAGCGGAGAAAAGATTAACCAGAGGACCCAGAAATGCCAGAGCCTGCCCTGCCTCTCCGGGCACTCTGCGCTCACCCACTGCGTCAACCATGGCAAAATGCTCGGAGTCTTATTCGCGTGCTTTTGATGTATTTTGGTGGCAGAAGTATGCAGCCCACTTACAGGCCCAGCATATGTACTTCAGCATCTCCCAGCGTGTCGAGCTGGTCTCGTGTGACCGGACAGTGTTATTGAGCCGATTCCGTGTGGATGGATAGACTCTTTTGATATTGATTTCCTGTTTGTTTTCGTTCTAGGTGTAAACAAAGCCTGAGAGTACTCTAGTGGCGCATTTCCACTGGCAGCACGTAGCACGGTTTAGCGGCTGTGGCCAAACCCGGCCCGTTTTTTTTGGGTTTATCCACTGGGGGTAGCTTCGGCTCAGGGCTACTTTTCACCTTTTTTGTCTTGCCCTCCAAAATCGAGGTTCCTTACAGGGCCAACAACCGGTCTAGTGACGTAAACACTCTTGACTGCTATTTAGAATGTATTCTTTTCTCTTGCGTCCAGGAGAGTTTAAACAGAGATGAGAGACAATGAGTCTCTGAAAAGGTCAAATTGGTTACTTTAATTAAATAGCTGGGTAATGAAACAAACAGAAGGATGGGAGAGAAGCAGCTGCAGCTGTTGTCTCGCGGGTGCAGAGGTGAAGAGAGACGAACATCGCTCGCGCCGCTCTCTATGGCCGTTCTCAAGTCGCGAGGATGCTTGCTGTAGCACATGTCTTCCGAGTCACTTGCTTCAGAAGCTAGGCCAACGAATCCTTACCTGGCAGGGCGTTTCTAGCTTTTTGGAGGCGCCCTATGCAAGATGCAAGATTTACAGTTTTTTAACTACATATGGGGGGGATTCCGAAGCCTTTAAGATGATCTGTGGAGATGCATCAATCTGTTACACTTTAATAGAAAC